TCACTATAGGACTTGTCATTATAGGCTGTTGAGATTGTTATTGGGACTTTTTGGTAGTCATTTCTCTTATGTGGGACTTGATTATTGTCACATCCCGCCAAATTTAGTATTGATAAAAGGGATGAAAAATTTGGTTAAGGGCCAATAGAGAAAGAAGATTGGCTAAGAAAACTAAACATGATATGAAACCCAAAAAAGGTCTGGACCGGCATTTTCATAACTATCGGTCTAGAAAGGACAAAACAGGAAAATTTGAGAAAAATTCTAAAAAATTCCTGAAAAATGGGAAAAATATAAATTAGAGGTTTTAAAAACTCGGTTGAAACCCGAAAGGTAGAATTATGGTGAAAATAAATTGTTACGGAATTTCCTGTAAACGGAGATTTTTTGGGAAAATATTAAAAAATTAGAGGAAAATAATTAGTTTAATTAGTTAGAGGCCTCAATAATTGTGATAAAAATATTAAAAAATTATCTAAATATTTATTTGGATTTATAAAATTAGTTTTAGGCTTCGAAAGCTCAAGAATAAATTTTAGGGAATTTATTTTTCCGCAGTGATACTGATAAAGGCCTAATCGGAGAAAATTCAAAATAAATACCTAGAGGTGGTGAAAAATTCTAAAAATTTCTAGATCATGTTCTCATGTTAAAAGGTGAATTATCATGGAGAGGAATGAATTTTTTGAGGTCTGAAAAAATTATGAAATGTTACTAGTGAATAGTAACCGATAAAATTTCGGCATGGTTTGGGATTTTGACTTGGATTGTGGGCCATCTTTTTGGCCCAGCCTAAACCATTTGTGGGGCTCACATTAGGCCCAATTCAAGTCCAATTTCGTGCAGCTTCTGGACAACTCTATTTTTAATTAAATAAAATGCAAAATTAAGGGATAATTGTTGGAATAATCTAGAGCTTGGACACATGAATAAATCTGAAGCTATGAGGCATTTGATGGATGTCAACTCACATTATTTCAGCCATTTTGGATGTCAAAAAATCAGAGGGGAAGGGCAGCTTGGTTTTTCTATAAATATCCCTAAAATACAAGAAAATGTTGGAAAAATTGGGAAAAAGAGGGGAGGTGCTACTATTTTCATTTTGACCAAGGGAGCCTGAATTTGTGGAGGTTTTGAACAAGGAATCATTCAAATTACATCAAGAAAATATCAAAGTATGCTTAAACCCTCTTATCCCTACATTTCAAGCTAGTTTAGTTAGAGTTTTGACTTGAAATTTTAAGGCTAGATGCTACCCCATTTTGGTCTGATCATGAAAGGTTTAGGGAAGGATAGAAACCTTAAATATCAAGTGGAATAAGCTTGTTTAAGTGGTATATGGAATGGTTTTTGAAAGAAAATACAACTAGGGTTCTATATGTTCATTTCGGCCAAGGGGTGTTCTTGCAGGAGGAGTTTGTTTTGCATAGATTTGATGATTCCAATGGGTTTAAAACATGTTTTTGTGTAGGGATATGTTGTTGGAAAATGTTTGAAATCATTGAAATCAAAAATAAAATTTTTGAAAGTCTATATACCCTATTCGGCCAAGGTGAATTCAAGGGGAAGGAGTTTGATTTTCAAAAATATGATTCCATATTTGAATTCCTCATAAAAAATTGTATAGGAATGAGTCATGAGGTTATTGATTCTAAAGAAGGAATCATTTTATTAAAAATCAAAGAAAATGAGAGAAAATGTTAAGTTCAAGTTTAAGGATTGTGCTTAAGTTATTTGGTTATTAATATAGTCTATATTTATGCTTGATTTAATAGGCTTTGTGAGGAGGAGACAAGGAGAATCATTGTCCCTTGAGATGACTAAATTGGACAAGTATTAAAAGATAGCTTTGAATTATAATTTGATTGTTTATCTTACTTGTTTAATGTGATTATGTTGATTGCTTGAATTCAAGAATTTATGTGGTGATAGTGGTTGACTTTATGACATTTGTTTGTGCTTTCGCCAAATGCATAGAAATATGTCAATGTGAAATTGTTGATATTCCTCTTTTGGTATGATGTAAAATATGATTTTATGTGACTTGAGGATGTTTGAAGTTTTATAACATGTCGCATTATACTTGCTTGATTTACATGACGATTGTAATTCATTGCTACCAAGATTTCTATGAAATCTCATTCCCCTTCAATGTATAAACAATAATAGGAACCTCAAGTGGTGTTGCCAAGGGCAAGGAGAAAATGATTGGAAGTCATATTGGAAGGAGTTTAAGCTAAATGTCATTGAAGTTATGATTTGTAAATTATTATAAGTTGTTATGTATCATTATAAACGATGTTAGAATATTGTATTGATGATTAAGGATACTCTATTTATCGAAAATTGACTAGGGAATTATGTCTATACATGTGTTGTATGATTGGAAAAGCTAGATGAAAGGAAAAGAAAAACAAAAGGCAAGAGTGGTATGAAAAAGAGATAAAGGTTAACTTTTCGGGAGCAAAGTTTGACCAATGTGATTTTGAGTAATTGGATGAATCTGGATCTGAAACTTGTTATGCTTATAGATCTCATTTTTAGTTTTAAAACAAGTGGTAATTCATTAAGTTTGAAGTTTTGTACAGAAAGTTATGCCCTTCCAAAGTTGGACATAAATCCTGAAAAATTGAGAAATGATCAAATGAATTTTTCCTGGGAATGATGTATGAAATCTGGATATAAATGAGTATTTTTCCTCTAAAGAGTATGTTAAGAGCTTTCTATAGAACTTAGAACCATCCCCTTTCAATTTTTTTACAACTAATTATGAATTTTCAAAATTGATCTAAATTGTTGTGAATAGTGTATGGAAATTCAGAAAATGGGAATAATGAAATTGAAATTTTCTCATACTTAAGACTTGAATAATGATTCATGATGATTCCAATTGATGTATAATGTGATGATAAAGGAGGTGTGACAATTATGATTCCCCCTTTATTTTATGATATCTTCCCCATTTTATGTTCTAAATGAAGCACAAGTTAAAAGTAGGGCAGATGAGAATAAAGGTTAAGGATTTGAAATCTCTTAATATATTAAAAAGTAGTATCTAATTTCTCTACTCTCCTCAAATGATAATAAAAAAGATAATTATTTTTTAAATCTCAAAAGAAAATTATTTTGATCTATGTACTAGTTGAAATTATTAGTCATTTGTTCTTCGTGCAATGGAAAAATAATGAAAATAAACTGGAAAGTTTAACTACACTCATATTTCTAATTTTTTGATGAACATTTGTCTGATATTTAAATTTAACTGACATCTATGGTGACTTGCGAGTCGAAAATTTTAATTTAATTTAAAGTATAAAACAAATGTAAAACTGATGTCAATTATCAACGTAAATATAAAATATATGATAAAATATATTATACATGAATCATAAATTATATTGTCTTATATTTTTAAGCTTTATATATTACACATGGGTTCATTTTCGATTAAAAAAAAAAGAAGCAAAATTATATATTTTGGAGATCAGACTGAATTGAGATTTTATATTTTTAATTAAAGCAAATCTCTATTTAGAAGGTGAGGTGATATGATTTTAGAAGGAGCTCTTATAGGAGACATTATATAGCATGTTAATGGGTATCAAATGAGATGAGTCAATGGGCTAGCAATACCCAAACAGAAAACTAATGGGCTGACATCTTCGTTGCCAGTTCATCCACACAAGGCATAGTCAATGAAGATGATATCCACTTATATTAAATAGTACGACCCGCCACATTATGATGGGATACTTCAGACTCAAGGTCACGGTTTAACAAATATTGGATTTCAGTTTTAATAAAATAAAGAGAAAATTAAGTTTTTATTTCCTATAATTTTGACTCAACTGTAATTCGATCCTTAAATATTAACTTGATGATATAACTCAGTATTTATAGTTTTGATTCGTTCTAACTCGGTTTGTAAACTTTGGCTTATTACAGTTTAGTTTATAGGAATTGAATTGCAATGAGTGAAAGTTTAGAAATTGAATTACAATCAAGTCAAAACTATAGAGATAGAGTTGTACTAAGTTAACTTTTAGAAATTAAATTACAACCAAGTGAAAATTAGAAAGAGAAAAGCAAAGAGGTAGCGAAGTAGAGAAAGATAGTATTGCTTCTTTGTGATGTTTTGGAATATACATCTGTTTTTATGAAGACATATTTTGTTGGCCAAGGCTAAAAATGTACAAAAGCTACCATGTGATGTTTGACTTAGTTGTAAGCTTATATTTTGATATCTTTAAATATGTGAAGACTAGAATGATTGTTGGGTTTGGGCTCCCTTTCTTTGTGAAGAAAGGCCCAATATTTGGAACTCAATCTCACTTATTAAAGTGAAAGTGGCAAATTAGATCATAAAAAATAGGTCTCATTGTGCAGTCACTTGAGAGAAAAAAAGAGAGTCATTTTCATATCTTCACATGGTAATCTCACTATATCACTGTTTTCACAATCGTTAACATGGGACATCTAATGTAATGGTTGGATTGTTGGTTCGTTTTCTAGCGTGAGAGTTATTCAATTCGCATTGAACTTTGCCTTTATGAGTATTTTCAACTTCTTCATTCTTTATTATAAGCTTGTTGCTTTAATTTGTTATTTGACTGATTGTTTGTAACTCTTTGTACATTTGATTAAGACTCTCTTGTACCCTGTTTTGATGATAATAGTGATGATTTTCATTGGTCTGGACCACCCATGATTTTTAGCTTTGTATTGAGAGATTTTTCACGTTAATAATTCTGGCACATCATTATATATAACTACCACCATCAGCCCCAAAAAAAAAAAAAAACATACTACCACCATGAAACCTAAAAGCAATAAAATAAGTGAAAAGGTCGAGAGAGGAAGACACGAGCCAGATGAATCAATAAAAATGCTTTGCTTTAATAAGCACTTTATTCCAAATGGCTTAATTATTGTAGTGTTGATGATAGCCAAATGCAAGGCAAACACGTTGAATATAGTACAAGTACCAAATCAACCTCAATTCAAAACCAAAAGGACTTCTTAGTGGGATAAGACGCGAATGCATTTTTGAGATCATCAATAAGATCATTAACATCCTCGATGCCCACATTGAGACGAACAAGATCTTCAGTTATGCCCATGCTTTCACGCTCTGCTTGAGGTATGCTAGCATGGGATGTATACCAGGGCAAGCATATTGCAGAAATTATACCCCCTTAACAAACAACAAAACAATTCCCAAGGTTAGGATTTTGCACAAAAATCCTACTTGTGTCTATCAACTACCAATAAATTATTCTCTCTAGTTCTAAATGCAGCAGTTAGACAACTAGTTTACATGCCGAGATTAAAAGAATAATTAGCTGAGTTAATTAATTATCTGTAAAAGAAATATATTCCTTAAGATATTCTATTTAATCATTTGTCATGGAAGCTGCTCTCATGTAATATATGCAATTAGTAGGGATCGTTTGCAAAAAAAATTCTAAATTTGGGAGACAAAATGGCTTGGGTCTGGGTCTTATAGATTTAGTACCAAAACAAACATCTTAATTATTAGTTCCTATCCTTAGAATCAGAGGAAGTATCAACAAGTTTATCCCTAAAACCTATAAGAGATTATTACTCCCTTCAATTGGAATCATAAGACACTTTCTTTTAGTGATCCTCAATATAGTACCAAAGCAAACATCTTAATTATTAGTTCCTATACTTAGAATTAGAGGAAGTATCATCCCTAAAACCTATAAGAGATTATTACTCCCTTCAATTGGAATCATAAGACACTTTCTTTTAGTGATCCTTGATATAATACCACCTCTCGTTCTTAGGGGGTGTTAGGATAGCAATCAAACCATGGTTTCAAAAGTGATTTTATGGTCTACAAAGTAAATATATAAAGGAATTTGCCTCGATTTACGGAAGTACTTTTCAAAAGCATTTCTAGCTAAAAAAAAAGGGAACCTTTCCTCTCCCCAGCCATTTCGGCATAAGAAGATGTGAAAGCGCCTCTCTCTCTATAAGAATGGGTGTTCCGAGGTGTGAAGTGGGTAAGAAGGGATTTCATGATTAGAGTTTTGAATAAGACGACCTTTTCATTTAGTATAATTAAAATATATTTTTTAGTGCAAATTGAACTATAAGAGATAGTACCATTTATCTAAGGCATTAATTTTGTTCCCTCTAAATGCCGTTAGCTTTGATGCTTTTAAACTATCTATGCAATCTTCTAACTGATTAAACAACCTGCTCTAATTAATTAATTTCTTTGATGGTCGTTTTGAAATTTTAAATGCAAATTAACTAATTTTAATCAAATACCTGTATCAGAGTTGCTACTTTGTTTTTATAATAAAAATCAAAAGGAGTATTTTAGTTAATAATAGAAAAAAGGAATACTAGACCAACAAATCAACTACTACAAAAATTACATGGTTAGAGGGGAAATCATACATATTTCTAACATGCTAACTGCTAAATTTGCCGTTATAGTAACAATATATATTCTCTATATCACACATTCGCACCCTACATCTTACCATTTTGGTCAACTATATGATGGAAAACTAGAAAAGTAAGAAAATAAATGTCAATAATATGTAACAGTTTATATGATAAATGTATATTTCCAAAAATACTTACCAAAACCGACGGTCATACTAAAGTATTTGGTGTGTTCAACAATGTGTTGTGAGAGTGCCGCAGAGCCTGTGGTAAAGCTAAGTACAGATCCTGCCCCACTTGCCTGTGAAACAAGAAACACAATGAATGTGGATAAAATTATTCTAGGCATATCAACCGAAAATTATTAGTGTTTCCAGTCCAAAATATAAGTATCATCAAATAACCAAATTACAGTTCAAAAAGTTAATTAAAATTGGTTCAAGATAATTTTAAAATGGAATTTATTTTCCCAAAATACCCCTGTAGGGAGGTCTAGTGGGAGAAGAAATGAGTGTGAAAAGAGATGAGAGAATTAGTGGGGGGAAAATAAAAATATATATTAAATGATTAGACCAATCCAAATTGTAGATTATAAAAAAAAAAGGCCTACTTAAAGATTTAATGCTTATATTTTGAAAGAGAGGGAGTATTATTATTGAATCGTAATTTAGCAAAGAATTAAATCATACCTGAGAGAAGTGCAAGTCATGTCCCGGATGAGATGGAAGACCAACATAGTTCACTTTGGTTACTTGTCCATTGCTGGCAAGGTACTCAGCAACCTTTTGTGTATTATCCTGTGAAATATAACACACACACACACACACACACACATGTATATAAATATGGTGTCATTAACATACTATCATGATTTTTTTCCTGCTCATCTATCTATTTAATCACTTTCTTAAGCTTGATTAAGAAAACTGAATAAATTACTAAATTATAGCATATGTTATATGATCTATCTAGAACACTAATATATATATATATATATATCATTAGATTATATATTAATTTATAAGTAAGGTAAATTAGTATAAAAAATATATAAATACTTTAAAATAATTTATTTAGTTTTTTAATATTTGTAAATTAATTAATTAAGTCTTATATTAAAAATCAAGTCTAGAATATTTGAAACCATGAATAATTAACTCAGAATGTTTGGGAAGCACCTGTTGTCTTTCAACTCGCAATGCCATGGTTTTGCTTCCTTCCATACAGAGCCAAGAATCAAATGGGCCCAAGGCACAGCCCATGGCATTTAAATAAAACTTCAGCTGTTCTGACAACCTTCACAATACATATGATCAAGGTGGGAAAAAAAAGATTAGGGAAACATAGACATCCACATTATTGATTGAATAAAAAAAAGCACTATATATAAAGCATGAGGAACAAGAGCTATTACTTTTCGTCATTCGTTGCAAGAACACCAGCCAAGAGATTACTATTTCCAGAAATAAATTTGGTCGCAGAATGCATAACAATATCTGGGGAAAAAAAATAGCAACAGTTATTTTTTTTTAAAAAAAGAACACAATTGCCATAAAAATTCCTTCAATTCACACACGTTTGAAAACTGCTAGAAATAATCTTAAAATAAGTTATGTTATGTTTTTCGACATAAAGCTGATTACTTATCCAATGTAAAATCATTTAAAAATGTGTGATGCGAATATATACCTGCTCCAAGATCCAACGGCTGACATAACATAGGAGACATCATGCTGTTGTCCATCATCACAATAGCACCATGTTCATGAGCCAACGCTGATATTTTCTGCACATAAATTAAAAAAAATGAATGAAATTTCATATTACCCCATCCTTTATTATAACAAAAAATTATAACAATTACCAGATTCAAAATATTACTTAAATTTAGTTAAAAATAATGCTACTTTCGATCCTTAATATATGAGTTAGTTGACTAATTTGAATAGATTAAAGAAGTTTGTTAAGTTAGTTATTTGTAATAAATATGTGTTATTTTTCCTAAAATACCCTTGTTAATCATGTGTATTAGCTAGAATTACCATTTAGTATAATCTTTAGCATATGCAATTAATACAAGAATTACTTTGAAAAACATAGATAAATATGAGAGACAAATTAGATTGGGATTTTATATTTAAGACTAAATTAAAAATCAAACTAACTCTTATATTAAAGACTAGAGATAGTAAATATGTGAGATATATACATATTTTTTTCAATATTGATCATTTGAAGTGATTATGTCCATGCAAGAATTAAATAAAAATCATATAGGCATGGACTTTTACTTCTCACTGCTGCCTGAAGAGATGCCGCGGGGGGGGGGGGTACAAAAACCGAAAAAAAAGAAGTCTTTGATCTGTTTGAAAATTTTATTGGCCTCATGTGTTTTTATACATTGCAGGATTTCACATGCAAGAAGTATCGGTAGTCAGTCGGATTCATATCCTTTTAATAAAATTTTTAAACAAAAGCTTTTCACCTATTTTCAAAAAAAAAAAAAACTGTTGAAGCACCTTTAACAATCAAGGAGAAGACAAAAAGCAAAAGCAAAATGTTAATATTCTTATGATTTAGTGGCAGGAAAACTTCCTTACAAGTAGAAGGTTGTATGTTCAATTTCGCTTATAACTTTAAGATTATTAGTATTTGCCTCTTTAAATTAAAAAAGAAAAGCATAAACAGAACACTTACAACCTAGAAAAAACAAATAACTTACTCGAATATCAGTTATTTTTAATAGAGGATTGCTAGGACTCTCTAACCACACCAGCTTAGTCTTCCCACGTTCAAGAGCAGTTTTCACCTTGTCTAGATTAGTTGTGTCTACTCGGCTGTGCATTTAAGCATTAGAAGTTATAACCTCATCAAATTGAAAACTATTTATATATATATATATATAAACTTCAAACCAAAAAGGAAAAAAAAATCCCAAAAGTTGGAAAATCACACTTACTTCACTTCGACTGCTCCTTTCCTTGCAATATAGTCAACCAGGAATTGATGTGAACCACCATAGATATCCTCCACAGCAACGATTTCTTCGCCTGCATTGAAATTATATAAATAAATGACACAAAAAAAAAACCATTAAGTTTTAGCATAAGCGGTCTCCAAATGAAAACTCTGAGAAGATATATGCCCAGGTGGTCCCTCTTATAAATATTAGCGATAAATATATTTTTAAAAAAACTTCAAATATTTACTTTTCGGACCAAAACAAAATGCTATGTCTAATGTTGGTTATGAGATGAGAATTGTTGTTTGTTGACTCTTGATTGTGATTGATGACATTTGATTAGGATTGACTACACATAATTAGGGAGATTTGATTTTGTAATTATGATGTGTACTTGTTAGCCATTATAATATTGTATTATATTAAAAATCAAGCTGGTCATTTTCGGTTTGTGGTCCCCCGTACTTTTAGGAGTCGGCTTCCCTCTCCATTTTTATGCCTTTCCACTATCTTTTCCCTGGATATCTCAACTATTAAATCTAATTTTCAAATGCATTGATCTAATATTTTATGAAATAATCTTTCTTTTTCTTCTGCAGTTATAAACTATTGAAACCAATTAAGTTATAATAGTTTAGATTTGTTTTAATAATTTTTCATAAACTTACAATTTTAATAATAATATTGTAAAATATTAAATATGAACCATTTATAAATAATTGACCCAATAATTGAGATATCTAGCAGAGAAGTAGTGAAGGTAAATGACAAGATAGCCATAGGCAACTATCCGTTGACATTCTTAGATGAGGTCCTGGTTCAAGTCTGGCATTGACATATATATTTGTATTATCATGTGATTGTGTTTTTAATTAATTTAGGCTTGTTTGACTAAGTAGCGTTATGTGTTGGCTTAGTCTATAAGCCCGTCGCAACTTAGATTATGGGTCGTACTTTTAACTTGTGTACTCAGTTCCTCATTTTTCACGCACAAATAACGCTTCCATGCTTGCACTCTGCTTTATACAAGCTTTGATGAGTTACATGAGAGCCAATTAAAACAGACTAATTAAGATGAGGAAATTAGACAAACCAGGTTTAACAAGTTCAGTAACAGCAGTTAAAGCAGACATTCCACTGCTGAAACAATAGCCATATTTTGCATTGTCAATCTTCGCTAGTAACCTGAGAATATAATTAGAGTACACCAAGTAAATTAACAAGAGGATATATAAAGAAGAAACGAATACGAACAAAATATCAAGACAACAAATTAGGGCATTTATACACACACGTACTTCTCTAAAGTATCTCTGGTAGGATTTCCAGTTCTTGAATACATATATTTACCACCATGTGTTGCAGAAGGCTGAAAAAAACAAATACAGAAGACAAGTACAATATGAGACGAATAACATGACATATCATGGACTAGAGATTCTAAACACAAAATTTATTGAAGGGATCAGAATTTAGAGATCAAATCTTCACCATTTTGAATGTAGCAGTTTGGTAAATGGGTGTAGAGGTTGCCTGGTAAGGATCAAAGTCATTATTGTAATGCACTAACAGTGTGGACATATTAATGTCGCTTGATGTTTTTTCTGCAAATAAAAGAAGCTAAAACTATTTATATATATACACATAACAAAAATATTGAATATTATAAACATTAATATCAACACAAGAGACACATCACAAACCAGTAGTTGGAACCCCGTTAGTTGTAATATCCCCGGCCAACGTGGACGACGTTTTGGCCTCAATCTGCTTCTGCGTTTGTGTTTGGAATACACAGTTTACTCTGAACCGCTTTCCATGGATCTGTCGTTTTGACTTTAAACTGATAATCTTGTTAAATCCCAGAATCTCCTGCGTATTTAATACTCTTTTAGTCTAAACACAGCAATGAGAAATTTAAACATACACTATGTGCATAGACTATTCACTAGAACATCACGCAGTCTCACAAGTGAAATTGATTTTATAAATTCAAGAGGTTCTTCTTTTCTCATCAACAGGCCAGTCCTTTGGAGTTGACTCTTCCTTTACATAACCAGTGCTCATGAAATTGCTGTTTTCACCAAGATACTTAAATCATAAAAAAAGTTACTTATGGAAAGGTTCTGACTGATAAGTCATGTAGTGAAGCCGCTAATGACATTAGCTCTCAACAGGGAGTGTTTTCTCTCAAATTGGAAAGCTTCACCACTAAAATGTGATATTTATAAGTTCAAGGAGTTCTTCCTCCTAATAGACTAGCATTTTGGGATAGGCTTTCTCATCAAACTTTTGTTCATAACATATACTTGGAACTCAGCGCATAGCAATGCCTTTGGGGTTGAAAAGTAAACATTATGACCATAGACTAATATAACTAAAACATTACGAGAGCTTTTCTAACAATAAAAAAAAAACATTAGAAGTTTTACAAATGAGGCAGGCTTTATAAGTTCAACGAATTTTTTTCTTAGTACGCTGGTCTTTTGGGATTTACTTTTCTTTTGAACTTAATTATGCTCATAAAAGTGGTGTTTTTGCCAAGAAGCCAACATGGTAGAAAAGGCTACCCACAAAAGGTTCTAATTGATCGGCCGTAAAGTGGAGCTGCTGATGTTTCTGATGACATTAGTACTTGAACAAGGGTGCATTATTATAATTCTCACATAGAAAAGTCTCACAAGTTGTGATTTATAAGTTCAAGAAATTCTACCTCTCTATAAAACAAACTTATTGGAATGAGCTTTCTTTTTAAACTTATAAAATAGGATTAAGGTGTAAATTTGCCCTAAGAGTTTTTACTCACGAGCTCTGAGTATCCGGAGGTTTAAAATAGTAGCAATATTACCCATACTTTCAAAGAACTAATGTTAACCATTAAAATAGTTACATTAATTGAAAGTTAATATATTAACTGTATTAGGATAAAAAATTTTGAAATAAATTTGCACCTTAATACTATAAAATAATACATGCCAAAAAAAAAAAAAACCTGCGCGAATAGTTGTTACCTCAGTGTGGCGATTAGCAGCGACCGAAGTGTCCAAAGGGCTGAGAAAAGTTGTAGCCAAAGCCATCACTAAAGATCAACAAAAAACTAAAATTTTGCTTATGCTCTTTGTGGCCGTGGATTTCGATGAAGTGTTTAGAATCAGAGCGATGCAGGCATATATATATATATATACACAAAATTCACTCGCATTTTCCTTTTCTTTTTCCCTGGTTTTCTTAAAGTAATTTTTCCCTTGTTTTTTTGCCGATAACATTAAATTAATTTTTTTTTTTGAGAACATATACTCATCACATGTCACTTTCCAGTAGTTTCACATACAGCACCAAAATCACGTTTTGCCACGTGCCTTTTTTCCTTTGAAAGGAGAATAATTTCATTAGTGCATTATCTCTACGCTTTGGCGCTTTTAAAAAAAGCCAATAATCCCTCTAATGCGTTATCTCTATGTTTTGGTGCCTTTCAAAAGGACAATAATTTCATTAATGCTTTGTTTTTATGTGGGCGGCAATTTATCTTTTAGGGAAAATTAGAGCAAAATATCTAGAGGGCAACTTATCATTTAGGGAAAATTAGAGTGAAAGATGAGGGAATGATATTTATTGGAGTGCATATTAAAATTTGCATTAATTATTTAGAAGGATTAATACTAAAATATACTAAAATAAAATCAAGGTGCTAGATGTATCTGAAAAATAACATTAGATGTTAAGAAAATTTTATTAAGGCTGTTGATTAATTTGATTTTTAGTTATTGTTATTTCACCCTTTTCTACCTCAAAAATCATATGGAACCAATGGTTCACTTGATTTGCGTAGCTCACTTCCCCTGCTTATTTGTTGATTTAAGTGAACGTGATAATCTTTTTCACTTCTCATCCATCCAGTACCATTAAGATATGAACTATGACCTTGTTTGATCCCTCAAAACATAAAGCATATGGGAGCTAGGGTCAAAGGAAGTATCAGGTTTTGGTTAGGGGTAATTTAATATTTTTAATTATTTATATTCTAATAATTGATCCTTCTACTTAATTATAATTTTTAAAATTTTAGAATAAAAACTTTATTCAAATTACCATAGTTAAAAAATGTAGTATTATAATGCAATAATATGTAATAAGATGCTTATAAAATTTTTGAACAAGCAATCATCATGCATAATCAATAATTTAATTCAATTTATTAGTTTTTTTATTTTATTTTTAAATTATATTGGATTTGATATTATCTTTTGTAAAAAATATGGTTAAAAGAATTTATCAAGAAATAGATTGAAATATATATCTTTTGAAGTAATTTGATTCGATAGATTCATTGACGGTACGGGTATTCAAAAAACAAAAATTTGACTTGTGTTCTATTATCTTTTTTTTTTTTTGGGCTAACTTTAGGTGCATTTTACATGTTTTCTTTTGGTTTTTTAATTTCTTGGACTTTTTCATTATTTCATAATAATATAATATTGTTAACTAAAATATAGTTAAATCAACTGTCCAGCGTCCACAGATGAATTTGATGAAAGACAGACAGCTACTTCAAACCCTTTCACGTTTCAACCACCTCGCCCCTTTACTTCATTCCGAAACCCAGCCTTCTCAGCTGAAGCATTTCAAAATCCCTATTTTACCCCTCTCTTATTAAATATTCTCTACTTTGACTTTCATGCCGTCCTAAAAATATATGAAAATTGACATTATTTATTTGTCCCCTTTTACACACACACACACACATCTCTCTATATATATATATATGCCTTTTCATTTCTGTAATAATATTCAAAATGGAAATTTTTTGGTAAGTATAATTGTTTGTAATTAATACTCATTCTAATTAATCTGCTTGGAGCAATACTTAATTAGCATCTTAAACATCAATTAGATGCAAGAGTAATCACTCCAGTCCTTACTATTAGAAACTTTTAACTACTTCATAGATATTAATCCCTATTTTTTGACTTACTCTTCCGGTCCCTAATATAATATCTATTTAACTAATTTGATTATATTAAAAAAGTTAGGTAAGTTAGTTAATTATGAAAAATATTATGTATTTTTCTTAAAATACTATAATTATCTTCCTTAATATCCTCCCTTCCTATCTTACTTGATTATGGTTAAGTAAATATCAATAAAAGGTAATTTAGAAAAAATTGATAAATATAAAAAATAAGTCTTATATTTATAATTAAAATTAATTTAACAATTATGTCTTATATTAAGAACATAGAAATATAATAAAAACCATTTATTTCTCAAAAAAAAGTGCTTTATAATCAGAGTTGGAGGGAGTATTGAACTCCAAACACTTTCTATTGTATTACAACGCACACCCTTATATGGGTACTACTTTTATTTCCTAATATAAAAGCTAGATAAGTAATTTGTAAATATTAAAAAAATTAATTAAGTTAGTTAAATACATGAGTGTTGTCTGAAAATGAGTGGTGTCTCTTTTCTAAAATTAAATACACTTGTTAATCATATATATGCATTAGAATGGAAACCCTCTAACATGGGTAATCATATACATGTATTAGAATGGAAACCCTTTAAATAAATGAGGATTTTCTATCATTTTCGCATTGTATAAGATCTCTAAACAAGAAAAAACTTGGCGTCTACTATTACAAAGTCAAATAATTAATCAATAAACTAACGTTGAGTTAGTTTTTATATTAAATATTCCTCATTTAATCCTGATAGTTTTATGCTGGTAGAAAGTTATTATCGAGAATTAAAACATGTTAATTGTAAAATGAAACAAATTAATTTTCAAGGTTGTATTGTGATAAAAATTTATTCAAAGAGTTATTATAAGTGTGTTATTAAGACAAAAATTTGTTAATTTAGAATTGAAATATATTTAATTATGAAATGGAACATATTAATTTTTAAAACTGTATTGTGATCATGTGTTATTCAAAGATTTTTGCAAGTATGTTATTGAGACAAAAAGTTATGAGTTTATAATTGAAACATGTTAACTGTGAAATAGAACATGTTAATTGTCAATGTTGTATTATGATCAAATTTTATTTAAAAACTTATTGCAGTTGTGTTTGGGGAACATATTATTAGTTTAGAATTGAAGCTTGACAATTGCGTAATTAAACCTGTTTATTTTTAAGATTTTGTTGTGATTAAGTTTTAGGGAAAATGACAATAAAATACCACTTGAATTCCAAAAAGACAAATAAGGCACCTGAATAAGCAAAATGACAAATAGGGCACTGGGTACCAATCTGGAATTCATATTTTCAGCCAAAAGACCAAAATGCCCTGATGAAATGCGGGAAGATAGACGCTGAAAGTGAGAGAAAGGAGAGAGGAAGACTGACGCAATGAGAGAAAGGAGAG